AATATTGTAGACCTACACTAGGGAAAGTGGTGTACATTTTAACTTCATAATCACAGGTAGAGATGGCTGTTTCTCATTTGTGATCAAGTGGCTGTTTTTACTTCCACCCTGTTACCTGTATTTGAACCATGTCAGTTCAGTATTTAATATACAGGTCTTGGGTATGCTGCTACCCTCGGTGATTTTTATTATTTTGGGGGAGCCGCACCCTTACCAGGTCAAAAAACAACACGCCCCAAATTGCACCACAATCAGAGGCCAAGTCAACTGGTACTGAGATACCCTCACTCTCCTCAGGCTTTAGCAACTCCCTGCTTACTGCTCAGGAGGAATGACTCCCTGCCGTTCTTGCCAGGCCCTGCAAAATCCAGCTACTGACTACCTTCCCAACTTAATTTCCTACTCCCACCGCATTATGCTCGAGCCACCCCGCTTCCTTCTGTCCCATGCAGGCAGGCTAAGTTCTTCCTGCCCCCTCCATCCTTGTCTCTCATGCCCCATCCCTGCCTCAGGATGCTGCAGGGCCTCCTGGGAAGGCTCCTCAGCAGTCACCACAGCAGCTAGGATGCAGCTGGTCTTGATTTGACTCTGCACAACAGTGAGCAGTCTAGCAAGATTCTGTACACCACAGTGTAATGGTTCTCAAAGTGCAGCCTGGAGACCTTTTCAAGGGACTCATGAAGTCAAAGCTATTTTCATAAAAATGCTAAGGTATTATCTGCCTTTTTAACTATTTTCATATTTGCAGTAATGGTGCAAAACCAATGGTGGGTAATACCACTAGCTTGGCACCCCTCAGCACAAATCAGGACAGTAGGAGCAAGCTGTAGAAAGTCACCATATTCTTCACTACCATGTACCAACATTAAAAAATAAAAAAGCCATTTTCACTTAACAGTGTTCTTGAGGAAGCAGTAAAATTATTACTTTTATTAAATCTTGACCCTTAAGAGCATGTCCTTTTAGTATTCTGCATGACAAAACATGATATATGCACAGAGCATCCTGCTACGTACTGAAGTGTGATGGTTGTCTCCAAACGAGGCAATTGGTTGCAAAGTGATCTGAAATAGCCACTTTAATTATGGAACACCATTTTTCCTTTCAAGACTGACCAACAAATGATCATTATTTCAAATGTGGGTATTTGGCAGACATTTTCTTGAAAATGAAAGAAATGAGACTGTCACTTCAAGTAAAACTGCTAGCACTTTTCCAACAATTAAATTCGAACTTTCAAGAGGAAATTAGGTTGGAAAACTTGCATCATTCAAGGTGAGCTTAACAGCTTCCCAGTATCCAGATTTTTCTGAGACTGGTGATGATATTAAATGTGACTTTTAAAAGTATTTACATATTAAAATGTATCAAAATGTAGAAGGATCTACAAAACAGTGGACCAATATTTTCCAAATAACCAATGTATGATGTAACAAAATCAGGCATGGGCAGAAGACCCATTCAAAGTGCAAAATAACCCAATAGAGTCCAATGTAACAAGGCAGAAACTTCATCCGTATGACTTCATATTGCACACTACAACTAACCTTTAAGAAACTACCACCTGTGAAGTTTCGGTGGGTATCAAAGAATGTCCACAATTATCTGAGAAAGCTATTAAATACACCCCCCTTTCCCAACTATGTAGCTGTGCAGGCTGGACTCCCTTCAAACACCCTATCAAAACCCAGTTGCTTATTTTTTTTTTTTTTTTGTAGAAACTGATGGAAATGCAAGGGACTCAGAAGAGCCAAAACAATCTTGAAAAAGAATAGTTAGAAGACTCACTCATCCCTATTTTGAAGCTTACTACAAAACCACAGTCATCAAGACAGTGTGATACTGACATATGGACATACATACAGATCATAGGAATAGAGTCCAGAAATAAATTTTCCCTCACATTTCTGGTCACTCAGTTTTTGACAAGGATGTCAAGACAATTCATAGAAGGAAGAATAGTCTTTAAAAAAAAGGGGGGGGGGCTGAAAAAAAGGTTGGGACAACTTGATGCCCACATGTAAAAGAATGAAGTTGTACCTCTATTTCCTATCATATGCAAAAATTAACTCTGAATGTATCATAAACTTAAATGTAAGAGCTAAAATATAAAACACTGAGGAGAAAACACAGTATTAAGTCCACACGGCCCTGGATAAAGCTTCAAAGGAAGCAAAAAGTTTCCACCCACAGAATGAAAATTATTTGCAAATTATGTATGATACCACTGTCCCCATAAAGATGGCTAGAATAAAACCGACAGACAATAACAAGTGTTGGTGACTGGTGAGGATGTGGAGAAACTGAAAGCAATGTCAGTTGCTGATGGGAATATAAAAATGGCACAGCTGCTTTGGAAAACAATTTGACAGTTCCTCTAAATGTTAAACATAAAGTTACTCTATGTCCCAGCAATTCCACTCCCACAAATATACCCAAGATAAATGAAAACATACACTTCATACAATTAACACAAAAATTTGTACAGGAATGTTCATAACAGCATTATTCATAATAGCCAAAATGTAGAAACAACTTACATGTTCATCAGTTGACGAATGAAGAAATAAAATGTGTTATATCCAAACAATGGAATATTATTTGGTAATAAAAAGGTAAATTCATAGAAACAGAAAGTAGATTAGTGGATGCCAGGGGCTGAGGGGAAGGGAAGACAAGGAGTGACTGCTAATGGGCACAGTTTCTTTCTGGAGTGATAAGGGTAAAGTATGGATGAGTATATTCTACATGGACATTTAGTAACATTCAGCACTGAAAGTGATAACCACAAATGCAAACTCTGGTTATTCTCTTGTACAGAACAATGAATGATTAAAAAAAAAAAGTTAACACCAGCGAGGCTCAGTGGTTGAGTGCTGACCTATGAATCATGTTCAATTCCCGGTCAGGGCAACCTACCTGGATTGTGGGCTCGCTCTCCAGTAGGGGGCATGAAGGAGGCAGCCGATCAATGGACTTTCTCATCATTGATGTTTCTATCTCTTTCTCCCTCTTTAAAATCAATAATATATAAAAAGTATAGCCCTAGCTGGTTTGACTCAGTGGACAGAGCGTCGGGCCTGCGGACCGAAGGGTCCTGGGTTCAATTCCAGTCAAGGGCCCATACCCTGGTTGCAGGCTCTGGGCACGTGCAGGAAGCAACCAATCAATGTGTTTCTCTCACATCGACATTTCTTCCCCTCTCTAAAATCAATGGAAAAATATCCTCGGTGAGGATTAAAAAAAAATTATAAAAAGAACTTCAAGCTTCAACATAAGGTGACCACAGCAGGACTACCACCTCCCACCCCATACACAACCTCAAAATGTTATTAAGCACTTGAACATACAATTTCACACACTAACAGATTTTATACATGTTTTACCTTAAAATATTTCAGTGAAATGTGTCCAAAAAGGATGATTTAAAAATAGACAGTAAACGAGAACACAATTGGCTTGTATTCTATTTGGAACAAATTTGATGCTATCTTTTCTTGTGAAGTATACAAATCAAAGGAAGCATCTTCCCTATTACCTAAAACATTTGAGAAGGTCATATTTGGAGTTACTTTTTGCTAAATTGCCTTTTATAAAACAGAGTGGTTTCATTTTCTCTCATGATTGTTCACATTCCTGTGATCCCCTCTTTCATTAACCTCAGAGGCTTACATATGGGAAACAAACTTTTGGATTACTAGTATGCTCTGATGGCAAACTAGATTACCAAAGCCTCTCTAGAAAATTCCAGTGAAAGATGCACCAGATTTTATTTGAAGATATTTACTGACACTACAACTTTAACTTGATTAAGTTGAGCTACCTCCTACTATGGGACTACTTGTTTGTATTAGAAACAATGGGTGTAAGGGAGCTGGGACACTTGTCCACCACTAAACAATTAATACAAAGCACTCCCTGAAAGCCAGCCTGCGTTATAGGTGACGTGGCCTTAACCGCTTAACACTGTAAACAACAGGAAAAGTACTTCAGGGGGAAAATGAGTCGTATAAATTATTTGAGAATTGTCTTTTCCTTACCGATAGTTTCATCAGTGTTTAAAAAATGGTAACATTTAGTAGTTTTATCTGAAGGCAAGATTTTAAAATAAAGTCTGTGGCATGGTTAAGACTCACTAGTCAAAATGGCATAAGATATTTAATCAAGAGAACATTCTGAGAAAAGTATGGTTTCTAGTTGTGCCTTTTTCTACCACTCTACCTCATCAAAATGACACAACAGCTTAACAATACAAAATAACACAATCTAGAAACACAATACTCCAACTTCTCTAGTACAGCACCATCTGCAAGCAGACATGCCAGTAAACTCCTGGAGTCTGAAGACTGAATCATTCTCCCAAGAGTGGCCTGTACAGGAAATCAGGGAATTACTTCCTTTTTGATGCTGGCAAAACAAAACAGAAGACCCCACAAACCCCAAAGTGTCCTGATTCATAGCAAAGGTAAACAACTCAAACATCAAATACAAAGCCTGGGAGTAATTTAACCTTTACTTCAATCGTCACTACCCCTGAAAGTAAACGTGGAGAAAATGGAAGAGGTCATTATATTGAGGGCACAGGGAATAGGGACTAGAACTGAATCTGTGCCCCTGGGAGGCTACTTAGAAGAGTCCTGAACAAACAGCAGTCACACTAAGTGTCTGTGAAGTGACCTGTCACCTCTGGGTGTTTAGGAGGGGGACGACTAGAAGGAAGACGAAACAGAAGGATTTCAATGGAACATAAGCAACTTTTTTTTAGCAAAAGTGATAGAACAGTAGCCTTGCTTACTGAATCCCAGAATCATCTCAAGAATCTCAAGGGGTAAGTAAGTAAGTGCGGATCGTTGGGGCATCTTTTGCGTTGAAGTCAGGTAGCCCGGGTACATGTCACGTGTCACCTGATTACTCGGAGGGCTAGCTTCAGTTAGTGGGCCCTGCTCATGTGTTAGACGGAGCTCACGCAAGAGCCAGGCTATGTCACAGGCCCACTCTTCAAACGCAGAGGAGGCTACAGCACAGATAAGCGAGGGCTGGGCGGCTCGGCTGCCAGTAAAGGCTGCACGCCGGTGCCATATGGGCGCTCGGGGCGTGGGCTGTTGGCCACCCCACAGGCCTCACTTGGACGCATGGCCCTTCATGGCGGCAGCTGTCAGGGCTGTCACCTCCGCTTCCCCCACATATGCTTACGACTTGACGCCACCCCGCCCCAGGGGTGCCCGATGACTCGGAGCCTCCGGACCCCTCGCGCCAGCACCGAGGAAGCGACGACAAAAGGGTGAGCAAGCAGGCTGGAGCCCATCTTGGTCAAAGGGCACAGACCCTGGCACGGGCGGGGGAAAAGGGGGGGGGGGCGGAACAGAAAGCGGAGTCGGGGAGTCCTTCCCCGGGAGCCGCAGGCAGCTACAGGCTCCCCGAGGGCAGCGGCCCCCTCCCCTGCAACCACCGGCGACCCAAACCCTCGCTCTCACCTTCCTTCCCCTACGGTCAAGTGCGCATCTTCCTCACACAGTTCCTTCCTAAAACAACACGAAGAGATCCAATTCCCCAGGCTGCTGGTTGTCCGAGACAATAAATAAGGCCTCGCCCAGAAACACGGTGAAGTTCCACGGTTCTGCTTTCTCACTCTTTTTTTTTTTGGCCCCCTGTCCGCCCCGCACCCCGTCACAGATCACCCCGGCTCGGCAAAGCGGCGACTGCCAGCAAGTTTCAAATACATGTCAACCCTTTGCAGGGAACAACAACAAACTTTTGAATGACTTCAGCAGCGTGGTCACAGCGCCTGACCTTATTTTCTCGGGAGAAAATAGGACACCGAGACCAGGAACTGACCGCCCCGCCGCCCTCCCACTGGGCGGGCGGCACACGGGGCTGCCGACGCCGGCTGCCTCTGCTTTCTTCGGCAGGAAACGCGCCCTCAGCAGCCACACGGCCCGGTTTTCTTTAGAATGTGAACTTCCACACCGACAGAGAAGCCCGAGGCGCCGCTTCCTTTGTTAAAACCCCACGGACTTGCTTCACTTCGGGGCGGAAAGGCTGCTGGCGGCGATCACGACCGCGCGCCGCGAAGAGGCGGGGAGACAGGTGCGCTCTCTCCCCCCGCGGGTGCCCGCGGCGGCTCGGGCAGCGGCCGACCCCTCCGGCGCCACCCGGGGCCCGGCCCAACCCAACTCCCCGGGCGTCCGCGGCCTCCCCGACTCGTCCTCCGCGCGCCCGGCCGCCCCGCGGGGCCCTGCCTCGCCGCCGCCTCCGCTCAAAATGGATATGGCGGCGGCGGGCGGCTGGTTACGAAACGCGCGGCCGCCACATGGCCGCGCCGGCCCCAAACTTGGCCGGGCCCGCCGAGTCCCGGCGCCCAGGCAAGGCCGGGCCGGGCGCTTGGAGGCCGCGCCGTCACTCACCCACAGACCGGTAGCCCAGGATCGCGATCTTCCGGGACTTGGACTGCGGCATCTTGGCGGCCTCCTCAGCCCCAGGCCAACCACATGAACCGCGGCGGCGGCGACTCCTGTGCTGCGATCCGCGGCGGCCGCGCCGGGGCAGAGCGGCATCCAGGGGCGGGGCGGGCGGGCGCGGCTGCCTCCGCTCCTCGCTCGCGCGCCCAACCGCCCGGAACCGCCGCGCGGCCCCGCCCCCAAACACGCCCACGTGACCGCCGCCGCCGCCGCCGCCGCCGCCCGCCCCGCCGTGACTGCGTCAGCGTCGCCCTCCCCGCCGGGGCGGCCGCTCCCGCCCCCGCCCCCGAAACGCACGGAGGTGGGGCGGACGACGTTTTACTTTAAAGGGGAAAGAGGGGACGCTCAGAAGCCTCGGGAAAAGTCACGACGGAAACTCGCTGCGTCATGGCCCTCCCACCGTCTTCCGCCGATGTTTAATTACGCCAGTTGGCCCAGAGCACCGATTGGACGACTCCCGCCCGCCCGCGCGACGACGCGGCGGAAACTCCGTCTCCCATTGGGGGCGGCGGAGAGGCAGCCCCAGGGCGGGGCTGCTCGAACGAAGCTAAAAATAAAACCGGGCAGCCGCCGCGCGCGTGTGCGCCTGCGGGGTTTGAAGGCTTTGAATGTCGCCTGGCGTGGGGTTTCGGTGGGGGGTGGGGGTGGAGGGAGAAGCTGGCTTCTCAGTGATTGGTTAAGAGCAGGGCGAGGGGCGGGGTTAGCTGTGGAAGGCACGGTCATTGGTGAGCCGCTGAGATCGGCGAACTGGCTCCCGCTGAGCCCTTAAAAGGTGTGAGACGCGAGGAGTGAGGTTGTTACCTGCTAGCCTCCGGGTTTCCTGCGTTTTCCTTTTTTAGTCTCTTAGCTATGGTGGTGTTAGTAAGTCTGGATTTGAGAAAGTATTTGGTGATTAAACCTAATCCGCTGGTGATGGGAACTATAAAGTAAAATAAAAGACACCCGCAGTGAAGGACTGTGGGAAGAATAAAATGTGTGAATTCAAAATGTTTTGCATTTCATTCAAAAAGTTTGCGCCTCATCAGTTGATTTCTACTCTGCGACATGCGGACCCCGCAGACCTCACAGATCAACACATCTTTAATTTTCGACACTTGCGTGGCTAATTGAGTAGACAAACTCAGTGGGCTGAGCATCATCCCGTGGACCGGGAGGTCCCAGGTCCCGGGAGGTCCCAGTCTGGGCACATGCCCAGGTTGCGGGTTCGGTCCCCAGTAGGGGGCGTGCAGGAGGCGGCCCATCGGTGGTTCTCATTGATGTTTCTATCTCTCTCCCCCTCTCTCTTCCTCTCTGAAATCAATTAAAAAAAGAGAAGGAGGAGGGAGGGGGGAAGGAGGGGGAGGGGGAGGAGGAGGAGGAGGAGAACCGTCCTTCCAGAGGGGATCTAATCCGCTGTGCTCTGCGCCCTTGTGTGGGCTGACCTCTCCAGACGCTGCTCTATTTTCCACAAAAGGCGCCCTGACAACCCTTTTCCTGGTGGCGGTGGTAGCGCTGTTGGGTGGCACCGATTTTGAATGCAGGAAGGGGCGCCAGCAGGGAGTCCTTGGTCACGGGAAATGAACGGGAAAGCACGGCCTGCGAAATGAAGCGATCAGGTTTCCAGCCAGGGAGACTTCCCGCATAGTGGACACTCGTTGCCCTTGGTGGTTGTGAAAAAAAAAAAAAAAAAAAAAAAAAAAAAGCAGGTGCCCCGCTGCCCCTATGAATGCCCCTGTTGTCACCAGTCTGTTGGACAGTGTTGACCTGCTTAGCCGGACAACCGCTTGCTGGTCGCGGCCCATTGCCTTTCCCGTGAGCACAGAGAAGGGACCCTCAGGAAGCTGAGCCCCAAGATTGGATTCGTCGGTATGAAGAATTAGAGGTGACCGTCCGGTAGATGTGCCTTGCTGAATGAGAACACCGGTGTGAAGGCAGAATCCTTTCCATGCTCAGCTCTTGTACTCCTAGGAGAGGGGCCGAGGACATTCTTATTTGGAGTGTCTATAGACGCCACAGGTGACCAGCTGCGACTGAAAAGTATCTTTGAAGTTCTGTGCTTTAACTGAATGGATTTGTGATTCTACTCTATAATTAGTTGAAATATTTGAAAACTTCAGCTCTTAAAATGGACTCTCCAAGAAAATGTATCATTGTTATCCTGGGCGTTTGGGTGCCCCCTACCACAGTATTTTGAACTGATGGTAGGGGATTGTGAAATCAGCGTAATGGATGTCACCTTTAAAAAAGAAAATAGAACAGAATAGAGAAAATGGTGAGGGGAAGTATTGTCTCATGGCATTTTTGCTCACAGTGAGGGAAGTATGACCTCATGACATTTTTGTGTGTGTGGTATGTCAAAGATGTGCTATATACGTATATATTGTGTACTGAGTTCCACTGTAAAATGTATTTCTTACTGTGGTTGCCTCAAAAAGTTTGATAGCACTGCCCTAACCTGGGAATATTAGGAGTCCAGATGGAGAAGTGCAGTTGTAAAACACAAATTCATTCAAGAACTGTTCCAACTGTCTTAAATCCTTTAAAGTCTGTCAGGCCCAGGAGTCTTGAAGATTCCTTTATTCCAGAGTGGGGAGAATTTGGTTTAATAAGTCACTCAGATTATCTAAAATAATTGGGATTGATGGTATGAATTCACATAGAAATAACTGACTGCAGCCAGACCTTTTAGGAACACGGGTGGGAGAAATGGACTTGCTTCTAAATTCAAAGTCCTTTCCACCCATTGAGATCACTTGTTAACCTTTGAGCAGCTGGAACTTCTGGCACCAATAACGTCTCTTCAGGTTCTGGTTCGGAGCTGCTCTGTCTTTGGCCTCTGCATGCTGCCTTCTCTGTGTGTCCTTCCACTTGTGCTAGGGTAGGGGACGGAGCCATGGAAGGGTTACAGAATGTTACAGAATGTGCTGAGGGGAGGAAATGAGACATGAGAAATTGAATGTGCTCGAAGGGAGGGGGATGTACGAGGGAGGATTGTGTTCAAGGATTGTGTCAGGGTAACCGTGGAAGCAGGATTGTGTCAGGGTAATAGTGGAAGAAAAATTGTTAGATTGTCTTAGAAAAACAATGAATTATGATATGCTCCAGCCAGGTGTGACTCTGTTTACCCCCTTTGTTCTTGTGACTTTCAATCTAAACATTAAATTTGTAAAATTTGTAGTAACAGGATGTGGGTTCTGGTACAGATTTTCTAATTCACTCTTGGATCTCTGCCTTCATCCACATCTCACAGGGATAGTGCCTTTTTAAACCTACTTTATAGGCAAATAGGCATAGAATTTATATGAAAACATTTTGCTAAAGTTGCTAAACAAATATAAGGTAAAATCTGTGCCATTTTATCCTATGTTTTCTAATATTTGATTTGCTTTTTATAATTTAAACAAAATAAAGATTGCATACTTTCGGACTACAAAATTCAGTAATTATACAAGGTGAATTAAAGTAGTAAAGCAGGTCATCATAGTAAACTCATTCATCCATGCTCTCATTTAATTAAGAAATAATAATTATAAAAATAGGTAACATTCTGTGAAAATATTCCCATTTATTCTATCTTAGGAGTTCTTGCCCATATCGATGGATTGCCTGGCATCAGACATGGCATCCGGTACTTGAACAGTCATTTTGTCCATAGACTTTGTCAAACAGATTTGGCAGCCCAACCGAGATCTATCTGTTAGCCCGTACGCCAGATCAAGCATGTCATTCTCCTCATCAGTGATTGCTTCCAATTTCTCGTATATGTGCTTTTCAAAGATGAGGTGGCAGGTAGAGCAAGCCAAGGTTCCCTCACATGCGCCAAAACCATCAATATCTAGATTATTTTCAATCACAACATCTAGCAGAGAGTCACCAATTTTTCCTTTGGTTGTTAGTATTTCACCGTCACGGTTTAAAAAGTGGACTGTTATTTTATCTTCTGCCACGCGCCGGGGCCGACAGGCTCAGCGGCCGCCTCGCCGCGCCGCCGCCCAGGCCCGGCTCGGCGCTCCCGCCCGGCGCCCGCGCCCGGCTCCCCGGGAGGCCGCCGGCTCCCACGCGGGCTCCGGCGACGAGCAGCTAACTCTTTATGAACTTTTAATGGAATGCTTTGTAATTGATTTTTAACACTGCTTTGCTATATAAAGATCATACTGCACCCTTGGTCTCCGCCACATGCTCCGAATCTCCCAGAGGGGGAGATAGGTGCTGTGGTCAGCTGGCCAGCTTAATAAAGGCTCTTAAATTTAAATTCTAAGTCGGTGGTCTATCTCGTTGAGCCAACCCATAACATTTGGAGGCCCCAGCGAGATACCCGGCAGGGAGGAGAGGGACCCCTTATTTAGGGCTGGAGGCTCTCCCCCGGCAGGGGTGAGAGGGACCCCCTATTTAAGGCAGGAGGCTCTCCCCTGGCAGGGGTGAGAGGGACCCCTTGTTTAGGGCAGGAGGCTCTCCCCCGGCAGGGGTGAGAGGGACCCCCTATTCAAGGCAGGAGGCTCTCCCCCACTTGTCGCCGGGCACTCAGCGAGATACCCCACACCTGTGGAGAACGACTATCAAGGAGGCCTCCAGTCCACCCAAAAACTTTCAATTCGGAAACCGAGCCACCTGGACTCTCGAGAGAGGTAAGGACCGGTCGTTAAACAGGAATTGGGACGTCCCACGGAAGGACCTATACGGAGGGCTGGACGCAGCGGTACTCCTGGTCCTGACCCGCGGCCACGATGGTGGCCGGGGTCCCTGGTTCGTGTGGCTGTAGGCTGCACTGGGTTTGTCTGTCTGGTATTTGTTTGTCCTGGTGTTTATTGTCAAAAAGTTGTCTGCTTCTGTGTACACCCTGCTGCAATGTTTTTTGAAAATTTTCAGGACTTCAAGGAGCAAGCTGCAGGTTCCGGGCAACCTTAGGTTGCATTTGGCTGGTTTGTTTTGTCTTTGTTCTTTGTTGTCTTAGTCTTTGTCAAATGGAATAGGGTCAGTCATCTTCGTCGACCCCCTATCAGTCAGGCCCACTCCGGGTGAGTGGAAGGGGAGCTTGATCACCTCCCGGGAAGCTATAGAGCTCCCTCAGGAATTGGGAAATTGTTAGGAATTGGGTGGATTGTTTAAACTCTGAGTGAATGTCTGGTGAAAGTGTGTGAGTGTAGAGGGAGGGGGCCTGCCCTCTCCTCTCCTTTGTGTGGCTCCACGACTTCGGTTACGGAGTCCGAGTGGGCCCCAACCTGCGGTTCCGCGATTCGTCATATGGCATAACGGTGACTCACCCCCATGTGGAGGTGACCAGGCCCGGGGTTTATACGGGTGCACCTTAGCTATGACGAATCTAAGCTCCCAAGGGACGCGGCCAGGCGGGCATCTGACTGAGGATCTGTGAAAACAGGTCACCCCCTCCCTTGTCTGTCTCTCACCACCGATCATCATGGGGTCGGGAAAAAGTTTGTTTGTTTGGGACTAGCCAAATTACTACAGAGAAGAAGGACTAGATACAGCTCCACCCTGGGCTGGTCTACTAAGAAAGTGTAAATCATTACTGGTCTGTGTAAAGTAAAAGCTACTTTGATTTATTCTGCTTTCTGTTGATACGCTTGGCTGAACGTTTGGTCTGGCCCCTTTAATAGTCTTCAAAGCCTCTTGCAGCTGCGAGAATTATTTTTTTCTCAGAGTCTTTTGCTCACTGTTAAAGGGGAATCAGCCTACTTAGTTAATAAAGATTTCTGTCTATCAGTTGCTCTTACCTGGGTTGTAATTTACTATATTAAACTGAAGTTCTGGGGTAGATTTAAAAGTTATAACGTTAATGCTTTTGATTTACAGCGATTCTGTGAATGGGAGTGGCCCACTTTCCAGGAGGGGTGGCCGGATGCAGGGTCTTTTGATCTGACCACTGCCTACCGGGTCCATTATGTCATATACGGCCGCCCAGGGCATCCTAATCAAATTCCTTATATTCAGGTTTGGGTTGACATATTGTCCAAGAAACCCCGGTAGATAAGGGCATGCCTCCCAAGGGG